AGGTTAACCAGTTCATAAATCAAGCTGTGGGGGAATCAGGTATGAACCTTAGATCTGAGAGGCTAATGCCATAAAGGGGCTCTTATTTACCTTATAGAGGTGTCCACAGTCTTGAGCCACCTCTTGGATACCTGGAGCAATCTCTCTTCTGCAACTCTACTGGCCACAACATGCAAAAATAACTTTTCATTAAAACAAAATATAACTTACATTATCAGGAATTGAAAAAACAGGTGAATCAAATGGTCTAAGTATACATTAACTCCTATGCCTTTAGGTCAGTTGACCTGTCCCCATTCCTTAAAGCCCACACCCAGTTTAAGAATGGGGCCCTGGACACATACCCTTTTTCTCATTGTCTCTATCCTAATACTTTGCCTCCTTCCATTTATTCCAATTTACTCTGATTCACAATAGGTTTCTGACCTTCTCAATGACCTGTTTCTTGTTTAAATCCTCACTTCACTCCTTGGACTTAATCCTGGCAATTTCTCTGACTTTCACCCATGCCTTATTCCCTCCAACTCACAATGTTCATTTTTATTCCAGGCCACTCTGAGGGATGAGTTTAGCCCGTCCCTGCCCCTAGGACTCATGCTCTAAACTGAGGCTGCCATGGGCATATTCCTCCCAGGTTAGCTTTGGCATCATAAATGAGTCAAGATTTTCACTACTAATGTCACTTTCAAGCCGTAGAAGGCTTGGATCACACAGGAGCCTACCACACTTTCTTCAGCCCAAACCTGTAGGGCCATCTATAAAAACTCCTTTGCAACGTTCCTGCTAGTGAAGATCTCCTTGGGTCAGGCTGCTTCATTTTGCTCTCTGTAGGATATTTCCCTGTCCATCAGTCACTTTGGTCTCTTGCCCTGGGTCACTCTATGGGCATTTTACATGATCTTCATGATGCCCTCTGTTGTCTTCAGCTCTCTGCATACCTCGTGCATTATTTTACAGAAAGAAATTAGTAACTACCTCTTTGCTTTTAGCTGCAGAGTAAGGGAAGGGACTCTTTCACTTGAGCAGCTGCCCTACTAGCCTGCATCTCCATTTCTTTCAGATGGTCCAACTACTTTCATAAGCAGATTCCTTGCATCCTCAAAGAAATATTTCCTAACTTTCCAAATTCAGTGCTCCACTTTCTCAGGTCACTATCATAACAGCTTTTTTTCCTGAGTGAATGATCCTGTGACTCAAACTTGCATTCCTGTTGTAGTCCATTCAGGCTGCTATAATAAAATACATAAACTGGGTGGCTTATAAACAACAGAAATTTATTTCTTACAGTTCTGGAGTCTGAGAGGTTCAAGATGAAGGTGCCGGCAGATTCAGTGTCTGGTGAAAGAATTCTTCCTCATAGATGGCTGTCTTTTTGCTGTGTCCTCACATGGTAGAAGGGGCAAGGAATCTCTCTGGGGTCTCTTTTATAAGGGCACTAATCCCATTTACGAGGGATCCATTGCATGACCTTCTCACCACCTAAAGACTCCACCTCCTAATACCATCACATTGGGGGTTAGTTCATTCCACATATGAATTTGGAGTGGGGAGGGCGCAAACATTCTGACTGTAGCAGTCCTCTTCTACTTATTCTAGGATAGAATTTGAAGAAGAAAGGAAGATGAAGAAAGAGCTTATGAATATCATCGAGTTCATATAGTGGGACAGAGGTAAAAACACAGGAATTCCTGCCCAGTCCTTGGTGAAGCAACAACTTCAATGCAGTCTTATGGACCACTGAACTTCTTTGTCAAGAGTTTGTATTGAAAAATTGAGTGATCAAAATTCTGTTCTAACTAGCTATGGTTTCTGAAAGAAGAGTGGAATGACATGAAATTCAAGAGAATTCTCTCCCTAGAAGAGGTTGAACTAGAGCAAGGATTGCAAACTTTTTCTGTGAAGAGGCCAGGTAGTAAATATTTTAGGCTCTGTGGGTCATATAGTTTGGTTCCAATACTCAGCTCTGCTCTTGTAGCACTAAAGTATCCTTGCTCAACATGTAAATGAATGAGGGTGGCTTTATTACAATAAAACTTTATTTACAAAAACAGATGATGGGCTGGATTTGGCCCACAGGAGGATATAAGAAAATCTGGATTCTAACATGTCTTGTCTAAAGCAAAATTTTGACATAAGCGATCAACTAAGTTGACTTAATTGATTAAATCATGTACTTAACTGTGTCATGACTTCATTGTTAACCTCATCAAACAAAACATGAAACTAGCTCAAAGAGGTAAAGTACCTGGACCCAGGTCACAGTAGTAAGTGATGAATCCAGATCTTCCTCAATTCAGGGCCCAGAACTCTTTCAGTTATATCATGATTTCTTTCCTACTATACAGGCACCTTCTATGATATAAAATTAATGTTTAAAAGCTAGGAAAGTACTTTGTACACCCCACTTCCAATGTAGGTGGACAAAATATGACTACGCAAAATATGTCTACACAGAAACACACTCATACCTATTAAGCAATTCTTCTATGAATAATGTATATGAGAAAGCTTATTAATTTTGTTTGGAGGTGTATTTTTTTCTATTTTAGTAAAATTGCATAATAATTCAATTTATTTGGGGTACAATTTAAGAGGGAAAATTAAAAATAAGCAATTTAAATAAATTTAACTTTCTATGTAATTTATTCTGATAATTCCACAGAAACTTCTGTGTACAAATAAATACTTTGATCTTACTGGGTTTTTTTTAGTATTATTACTGAAATAAGTACAGAGTTTAAGACATATATGAGAAAATAGTATAATTTTTCCAAATGTTACATTTTATGGAATCTTGACACCTTATATTGCCTGAACCAAATATTACATACTGAGTCTAAATCTTTTATTTACTTATTTATTTACTTATGGAAGAAAAGTCAGTTGGTTGGGGTTACTATTTGGTTTTCATCTTCCCATCACAATTTTTTATCTTCCTTCTTCTAGTCAAGTACCCATTTTGAGAATCTTTCCCAGATTTCATGTGACCCAGGGGTGCTGTCAATCATTTCCTCTATGCCCCAGCACAAGGATGTCATGTCCCTCCAGCTGGACCAATCATAACACCCCATCTTGACACAATAATTGATACAAGGGATAAGCTTGTAACCCAAGCAAGTCAACTCAGGACTCTTTTGTAGGATTGTTAAATGACTTCTAGGAAAAACTTTCCTTCTGCGGATATTGAGAGATTGGAGGTTATGAAGTTGGGTGCTGGTTACCATTTTCAATAATATTCTAATAAATCCAAAAAGAGACAATCAGAAATTAAATATAAATGGAGTGAGCGCAAGACAGTCCTGATGAGCTGAGTTTCTTGAAATCGTCCCTGTTTCTTGTAGCTCTTTGATTCTCTTTGCTACTCTAGTATTCTTCCTGGGCATATGAGCCAATAAACCCTCCTGTTAAATTTAAACTTGTTTGAATTGGGTCTCTGGCAGTTGAAATTGAACATCTAGCCCAGCATGAGATGAGATGATTTTAAGAGGTGTGTTTGTAGGAGTGGGGAATGGTAAGGCTCTCTTTCAATAGACTCAAACAATCTAGGGCAGAAACTTTCAATCTTTTTCCTTTTGAGATACAAATGGCAGAATATGCCCTTTGGAGAGACATATTCCCACACATAGTTTCCAGATTAATAGTAGCTGTCATTCCATCTCTTTCTCTCCCGTTGTTGAAAGCATATTAAAATGCTGGTGTTCTTGTTATCAGATGTTACATAACAAACCGCCCCAAAACCAAGTATCATAAACCAACAAACAGTTTATTAGTGCACACCTGGATGGCTTGTTTCTGCTCCATAATGTCTAGAGCCTTGGCTGTAAGGACTCAAATCGCTAAGAGCAAACTGAATGGCTAGAGCTTGGAATTGTTTGGCAGCTTCTGCACTCATGCCTTGGCAGATATGGCGGAGAGAATGGACTTGGCTTGGACTGTTGACTGGAATGCATAAGCATGGCCTCAATATCCTGGTGGTTTCAGAGAAGTCAGACCTCTTATGTGACAGTGCAGGGCTCCCAGAGAAAGCATCCCAGTGAGCAAGGAGGAAGTTGTATGACCTTTAAGTCCTAGCTTCAGAAGTCACATAACAACGTAACAACGTTTCTGCCATATTCCATTGGTGAATGTAGTCACAAGCTCATCCAGATGCAAGAAGTGGGGACATAGATATCATTTCTCAACAGGAGGAGTGATAAAGATTTGCAGCCATGTTTTAAAACTGCGAAGTAAGGGGCTGGCCCGGTGGCGCAAGCGGTTAAGTGAGCACGCCCCACTTCGGCGGCCTGGGGTTCCCAGTTTCGGATCCGGGACGCGCACCAACGCACCGCTTGTTAAGCCATGCTGTGGCGGTGTCCCATATAAAAAGTAGAGGAAGATGGGCACGGATGTTAGCCCAGGGTCAATCTTCCTCAAGAAAAAAGGGGAGGATTGGCATAGGATGTTAGCTCAGGGCTAGTCCTCCTCACAAAAAAAAAAAAAAAAAAAAAATCTAAAACTGCCGAAGTAATATGTGGAAAGGCCACTATTATAGGCATGACTTTGCAGCCATTTTAAATATATATATATTTAATAACAAGATAGTATTAGTAGCAAGGTAAGTATACCTTGTGTTTTTGTAACACTTTATAATACCTGAATTGCAGAACTCCTGGACTAGGGGGGGATTCAGGGTACTATCTATACAGATAGTACAAGAATGGGAGAAAAAGACTGAAGCAGAAAGAATGGAAAGAGATTAGTTGAATAAGAAGTTGGAAAATGTTAAAGCCACACTTGGCAGGCATTCTAATTTTTTCAGAGTTATCTCTAGTAATAGGATTCCGCTTCCCATATCTGTGATTCATTTGGTCTCTGCTGGAATGTGTAGAGACAACATCTGTGAGCAGAAAGCATTGCCATGTACCCCAACCAGCTAGCAATGATCTGAGAATCTCTGGGCAAGGTCAGCTAGGAAGCCTTGAAAAATAAAGGAGAGAAGTGCTAGAATGTTTTCCTCTAACCCTCCTTCTGTAGCCCTGGCATAGGTTGCTTCATTCACTCCTATATACTGAATAACACCCCGCTATCTCCTATAGACTGTTTGGGGAAAAGAGTTTTTGTGTCAGATCCACCCTATAGCCACTTTCTTCACTCTCATCTGGTTGCTACTTACCACTAACCACTCAATCTCAGGCATTGACATGCCCTGTGGAAAACTCCTCCCAAACTACTTTTTCTTTGAAATGCTACTTTACCAATGTGATGGCCTCTGACGAGGGCAAGTGTGGGGATGGCTGCAACACCACCATCATTGAAAGTGGTTCAGAGTGAAGACCCAGGTTCAAATCCCACCTGCAACTTTTACTAGCTATGTAGTCATGGCCAAGGTTTGTAATCTCTTTGGCCCTCAGCTTCAACAGAAAAAAAATGGACATAATAAGAACACTTAGCACTTACCTCCTATATTTATCATGATGAGGTAACATACATAAATAGATGAAGACAGTGATCTGCACAATGTAAGCATCTAGTAAGTACTAGGTATTAGTGCTTACTGACCTGTTCCATGTGTGGACAGGGCTTCCGAGGCATATCTGATATACATTTCCTATGTGTATTAGACTTTCTTGTGAATTTGAGGATAGCATAAGAAGTTAATAAAATAGAAAAGAAAAACTTTAACCTCAGTAACATATATCATTTCTTCCAACATCCCCGAGTCTCATTCCTTCATAAGGAGTCACTGCTGGCCATCATTGTCCAAGACCTACTCATCTCAAACTTTAGACACTTTTCTCTCCCTAAGTATCACATCAATGACCCCAAGTTTTATCTCTTTCTCGCTCTCTCTACTTTTATTGCAGAGAAAACAAAAAAAAATCGATTAATATTAGAAGAACATGTCCACGTAAATAAAACACCTATTTGCTTCATTAGATAGATAAGTTTAGCTTCTGTACCTTTAACTCCATATTAGGTTTCCATAACCTAAAGATGCATTGGTGAGTTTTCCCAAACCAAACAGGAGTTTTCTGCCTGCAGGGAATGCTGTCACTATACTTGATCATAGAAATAGTGCAGTTTCAAAAATACCTCTCTTTTGACCTTTTATCTCCTTAGAAATTAAAAATAAAAGAAAGAGAAAAAATGTAGTTTTTTTATTGTAATTAAAATCATCCTTTCAAAACTTGGATAGAAAACTTTTTGTTTTTTCCTGACTTTGAGAGATTATTATGAGTTTTGGAGTTTGAGAGGCCAGTATTTGAATAACTGGCTCAGTTATTTATGAGTCATGCATTTTGGGGCGAATCTTTTCCTCTTGCACTGCATCAGTTTTTACTTCTGGGGATAATAATTCTGACTTCACTGGTTTGTTTTGATAATTAAACCATATAATATGTGTACGAAGCTGTGATGCAGTAGATGCTCATGTTAGTCTTCTTTTCTCCCTGAAAGAGAGAATTGGTTTTGTTTTCTGCCCCTAAAATCTACATGTCACTGGGATCATACTTGGATGTGTCTCAAATTTAAATTACAGTCCGTGCCCAACTAACACAATGATTGTTCATTCTGTTAAGAACATATTAAAAAGAGAAACACTTCAGGGGGTCAGACCCAAGAGTCAGCCAAATAAGACTTATGAATACGTGATACAGGATTTCAAGATTAAAATATGAAGGATATTCAAGAGTATTCTCTAACTCTTTAAAACTCTTTATGGATGCGTGGCTATTCTTTGACCTTAGTAAACTTTAGAAGAAATATCCGTATTATAGGTAATGATCATTAACTGGAGTATTTCTAGAAATTCCGTTTGTATACTTTCATTTTACCTATCTCAGTGTCCAAAATTTTTCTCTAATTCTAGCTACATGGAATTTAGCAAAACTTCTGGAGATCATAAATGGTTATTCATTAAATTAATTTTATTTGTTTAGACACTTCCACAGAGCCCCTTCAGTATTAGAACATAGTGAAAAAGAATGGGGCTCTTGGAACAAAGAGAATTGACTTCGCATACTACCTCTACACTCACTGGCTGTATAACAATGAACCATTTATGTAGCCTTTCTAAGCTTTAGTTTTTGTGTCTATCAATTGGGGAGTATACTAGGGCCTACTTCTTGGGGTTGTTAGGATTATGTGAGATCACGTACTAAGCACAGTGCTTGGGGGTAATAAGTGCATCTCCTCCTCTGTCTTCTCTTCCTTCTTCTTCAATAATTCTCCCAAATGGTACAGACCTCATTATTTAGTTTGATCCCGTACAATGGGCTCTTTATGTTTTTTATTATTTAATTTCTGATTATTTCTTTCTTGGAGAAGTTGATCTGGCCTACATGTGGTATTCCAGGAAGGAGTAATTGAGTGACATAATTTTATACAAGGAGTAGATAATTTCTTGAGCTCTATTATGGCCAGTTTCTCTGTTAAAATGTATAATTCTGCCATTCCTTTAAGGAGGGTGATAATGTCATGTTGCTTTAATTTTAATGAGATCTGTGCTGAAGGTAGAACCCTTTGAGGGTTCCTTTATGAAACACCAACCCCAGCTGTTTTATGTTCTGCAGGTGCTATGTAAATGTCAAATATTAATGTTTTACTATCTAGTAAAAGAGACGAAATAAGATTTTTGTTGCTCTGTGTTTCATAGACTGCAAATAAGACTGGATCATTGTCCTTTTGATTATTCAGCTGCAAAGTTTCTTTGCTTTAAAAAAGTACCGTGAAAATAACTGCGAGGAATGCTGTCATATCAATAATACGAGTTAGCATAGTTAACATTTAGAGAGCGCTTGTTAGGTACCAGGAGGTGTTCTAATCCCTCCTCATGTATCGTCTCTTCTAATCCTCACAAAACCTTATGAAGTGAGCAAGAGTCTCAGCTTCACATTGCAGTTAAAGAAACTGACCTTTTAAAACATAAGAGGACTTACTTGCTAATAAAGAGCCGGTGGGTGGATGAGCGGAGAATTGAATCTAAGTTGGTTTGATCCAAAGTCTACTTTCTCAGTCATCTGTCCAATGCCATCTAACTCAAGAAGGATCAAAAAAACATTTTCTAATTAATCACATTTCAAGATAGACAAAGGGAATTCCATAGAATAAATTATAAGATATTATGAAGATGAACAAAAATGGGTAGGGCATACCTGGTAGGGTGCATTAGAAAAGTATTTATGAAGACATTGGCTGTTGATGGGAGATGGGATGTGGCAGGGTCACCCATATAGAGGGAACAATTCAAAAAATTGAGTGGAGGCAAGATAATTAGACTAATAGCAAATTATCCAGTATGGCTAGTGTAGGGGCCTCAAATACAGGTGTCTGCAGAAGTTTGACAGGGAATGAAAATGAATAAGACTGGTGGGTACAAGAGTCATAGGGAATGATGGTGTCTGCAAAGAACTGGAGAGGGTCTGACCATCCAAAGGGGACTGCTGCTACTTGGTGATACTTGTGAGTATTGTCACACAAGAATGAAGACCCAGTGTTGCCACAGATTCTGAATTTTTAAAGAAGGACAGAAGTCCAGGTTTTCACATGTTCTCTTCTGATTTTTAAATGTTGATAACTCACGCAATATTTTTAATAGTACTAACTAAATCAAAATATTTTAGACACAACACAGTTTAAAGATTGCCAGTTTGCTTTTCTGAACTTGAGTATGAGAAACTAAAATGTCAGTTGGGTCCATACTGTGGAAGACACTGAGTGCCAAGCTAAAGACTGTTCTTAAATTATTAGGCAAAGAGAAGGAGCAATTGAAGGCTTTTCAGCTGAAGAGTGGTACAGAGGGTGCTGTGCTGGAGAATGATTAATTTGGGAGTATTCCACAAATGGTTTGTGGATGAGAGAAAGATCAGGCAAGATGACCAAGTTGGCAGCAATTGCATTCATTAGAAGAGCCAAATGGAATTGAAACATAAATAACTGTGATTTGTACAAATAAGAGCTGCCTATGACTATTATCAACTATTTAATTCTACTTTTCAGACTACATTAGCAAAAAAAAAAAAAAAAAATCTTATCTAAGAACAGGGGCATCCCACTTTAAGGGATCCTTCCTAAACTCAATGAAAATATGACTTATCAAAGAACATGGATGTCCTTGATCTCCAAGGTCCTATGATTCATTCCTTGCCTCCTCATCTTCCCTTGGCCTCACGTACTTTCACAATTAAACCCTGCTCTTAAGCCTTAGCGTGGCATTGTTACCCCAGCCAGACCAAAAATTGCTAAGGGAGAGGCCCATTTTCTCTACTTAGAACTCTCCATGAAAAACTGAGATACAAGAAAGAAGAAAAAGATTGCCCACCCAAATTATCCCATACATAGGAGATGGGATGAGATTTAAAGTCAGATCCAGACAATTTAAGCATTTTTTTAAAATGGAACATATCAGATTCATTTATACAATTATATATTTCATTGAGTGTCTGTATCATGCCAGGTACTGTGAGAAATTAAAATATGAATAAGACAGAAACCCTGCCTCACAAGTAGCATACAATTTAATTATCTGATTGTTTATTGGTGATGTTATGATATGGGAATAAAGCAGTACAATGCAAAGTAAGAAGTGATATATTTTGTAATGGAAACTAGATGAAATTCTGGTCCTCTGCCTTTCAATGGAGGGAAAGATTAAATCTATTTAAGAGAATTAGGAAAAGCTTTAAGTGAGAAGAGATATTTAAGATAGGCTTTGAAATGCAAGTAGGATTCAGACATTATAAGAAGATAAGGGTAACCAGATTCTTGAAAGAAGAAGTAGTATAAACATGAGGTCAGAGGAGGGAATGTTTAGGGAATTTTCAGCTTGTCAGGAACATAAAGTAAGCGATGAATACTATTGGGAAATAAGAGTGGAAAGATGGGTTGGGACCCTAAAGTCTAGTCAAGTTTTTTGATTTTGTGGGCATGGAGTAACCCTTAAGTTACTCTGTTCAGAAAAAGGAGATGATAGAAGCTAGTCACTGGGAATATTAACCTCACACTAACTCGAACAGAGTTTCCCAAAGTATGGCGTAAGTATCATTGGTGATATACAAGATGATCTCAGATTGTTCATGAAAAAACATTTACTTAATAGATCCATGTCTATCTTAATGTGTTAAATTCACAGAGTTACCAGGGTATTTATATGTAAAAATAAGAATTGAGAAAGAATGGAATCCCAACAATTGAAATGGCTAGATTACAGAGGTTTGGGAATGTGGAGAACCCTGAAATTCAACATCCCCATCCCAGAATCACTCCTATTTGTGTCCCCTTACCTGAAGAAATAGTTCTTTCTTGCAGGGGAAAACTGCCACTCTCTTTCCAGAAAAATATAAGACTTTCCCTCATGTCCCACCCTTTATTGTTGCTTGACCTGCGATAAGAATTCCAGTTTTTACTATTTATCGAGTTATCAAGCTAGATGCTAGGGTAAGCAAAACCTTCATGGAACTTCCAGTCTATTGGGGAAGACATGCATTAAACAAAGAAATGCAAAAGAAGTGTAAATTGCCACAGAATAAGGCATACAAGGGAATGGTGCACAGTGATTTCAGATATGGGAAAATTTGTCTTAGTCACAGAGACAGAGAAAGTTTTCCTGAGGAAGTGACCTTGAGCTGAGGTCTGAAACCTGAAGATCAAACAGAAATGTGGGAAGAGGATCTGGACGAAACTTATCTATAGGGAAAATAGCCTGTAAAAGCCCTGATGAAGAAGAGCCAGGATAATGAAAAACTAAAAGATGTTCACTGGGGCTGGAGTAAAGCAATCTAGAGACTGTGTTGGGGAGGCTGAAGAGGTAGATTGGTAGAGCGTGCTCACACGGGTGTTAAAGACTATGTTAAATAGTGTTTAGTGCTCATCTTTAAAATTAATTTTTGGTTAATTTTAATTTTTAAAATTTAGTAGAAATATTTTGTTTATTCTTTATGGTATGGTTTACTTCTAACTATGGTTTTCTTTTTACAATAGTGAAAAAGTCATTTTAAATAAATTAATGACATTAAAATGATGAACCTATTTAAACAAAAATGTGAATTCACAAAATTCCTGCAGGTGGCATATGAATGACATTTGGGAAATATGAAGCTGTGACTTGTCAAATGATGACACATCACAACTGTAGTACCCAAAGTCTGGAGAATATCTCTCTCCAGGCCAGTCCTAATATTGGAGACTGTTTATTCTAGCCAAACTCTGTTGCAGTCTCTTCCAAACAATGTTATCTGCCCTTTGGCAAAGTGAACTCATATTAAATGCTTGTGTTCCAAGTACAATGGTCTATCTTATTTTGTTTCAGACACAATGGCCAACTTTCACCACGGGTGGTCGTCAATATCTCAGCTCTTCCAAAGTATGAACTTTGGCCATCGCTACACATGGAACAAGATATGAGATCAGGGACCAGAACAACGGTGATCCAGATATCATACCATATTGATAACAATTATATTCCATACTAAGAAATTCTGATATTTAGATTGGCAGCTCAAAAACTTCCTCTGAAGAAATGACTTTGCCATGAGGAAGAATTCTATGAAAACTATTGCTTTTTTAGTATATGGAATATTAGAGCTTGAGGAAAAGGAGTTTTGTCTAATCTCAGCTTATCCAATTTATAAATGAAACACTGAGATTCAGGGAAATAACTTAAGGAAATAACTTTCCCAAAGTCACATAGATAGCTCATGTCCTGAATCAACCTTCCATTTCACACCACGTCAGGCAAGAGGAGTGCTAAGAGAAATAGGACATAGGATTGGAATGTGTATTATGGTAAGACTTGCATGGAATCATCATCACCAGCCTTTTCTTGCTCATTGGATTCTGTGCTCCATAGCACATATACAACTCTGGTGTTTGGTCCATCTTCGATACTCTTAAAACAGTGGGACAACTTCCTGGCTCTGAAGGAAGTGAATAAAAATAAGAGTATACACAAGTTAAAGGTTTACTTCTCTTCTGTTCCTGAATCACGTGCACATTTGACCATCTTCACCATCCACCTGCTGCCACTCCAGCCACATTTCATCTTGAAAAAAGATGGCCTGTAGAAAAGACAT